AAACAACCCTCTTCAATTTTCGCTTCTGCTAGATGTTTCATTCAAGAAAATAATATTTCTAATTTTGTTTTGAGTTTACTTGAAAATCCTGAATTTTTATTATAAAAATGCTTCATAATTGCTAAAATTATGCAAAGCATTGCTTTAAGATTCAATTATTTAGCTTTCTCCTATCAAATCAAAGTAGAATTTAATCTAAAAATCTTGAGATTTGAAATTAATGATGATATTCACTTTTAAGATGAATGAAAATTCTAAATTTTAGACTAGATTGATAGTTTGATTTAATTATATTTGAGTATTCTCATTTTTGTAAAGGAATCTATAAAAATTTTGAAATTATATTTTAATTTAATTAGAATTTGAAAAGAAGTAAACCTTGAAGATATTGATCCAACATAATATATATATTCAAAATCTAAATATTTAAGTTTAAGATTGGATTTATTTATTTTTGCATCCAATTTAATTTAGGATTTAGGAAATTTACCATATAACAAGATTTTTAATCAATTAAAATTATTATAGAATTTAATATAAAGATAGTCTCTCAACTTTTTTCAATAAAACATATATTCAAGAGGCTTAATGAAATGCTGTTTTAGTTATTGTTAATCACACTTGATCACTTCAAATGATAGATAGACCATTATATAAGAAATTAAAATTTAATTTGATTTACGCAATATATTTAGGTTTTATCCTTTCTGCATTCAAGTTAATTATTTCTTTTGTGCATCTTAAATCACAATGTTTGACAAGTTCTAAAATTAAAGTAACCCCTTAATCTTAAATTGGAGAAGCTGTATTTGAACATTTTCCTTAGTAATTGACTAACATTTTTTTTGCTTCTTTTTATAATATACACTCATTAACTTCCTCTTTTTTTAATCTTTCTGAGCACTTTAAACCTTAGAGGTCATAAATATTTTAATAATAATTTCATTATAGTTAAAATATCGACACACTAGTTATGTCGTTTTTATTTTTGCCATAACTATGTGTAGATATTCATTTTCAATCCTTTATTTTTACTCAAAACAAATAAGAAAATTAATACAACATTTTAATTATCTACTTCAATTTTTTCTATTCATTCAAGACTTTATTGGATCTGTCAAATTCATATTTAATAATATTATTATATCCCTAAAATCACTAAAATATATATTATATTTGTAATAATAATCATTTAGACTTTACAATTCTTCATTAAATGAGGCACATCATTGAAGAACTAATATTTTGAAATTCTAAAAAAATAATTTTTATTTATTCATATAACATAATGCTGAGATGTAAAATGTATTTTGGGTTTATTTGGAAGATTGATTATATTAAAGCAAAATAATTATGATATTTTTCATTTTTAAAATAAATTAAAACTTTTGATTATATTTTCATAACAAATTACAAAATATTTTAAATCTGGAGTTATTTTTATAGATTAATGTCTTCAAGGAAATGGTAACATCAATAATCTTGCCATTATCTTTTAATTTTAGAAATATGAAATCTTTTGAATTTTTATCCAATAGTAAAGACGCCATTTCAAAATAACATAAAGGAGTAATATATTCATCAAGATTTTTTTTAATTTCAAATTAATTATTTTCCAATCTGATATTTATTCAGAAATTAATAGCTGATTTTATTTATTAGGTAATATTATTCAATACGTCCCATCTAAATTGTTTATTTAAGAAACCATAATCGATTGATGTAATTGTACTAATATATAACTAGTATTTTCCCACGTTATGAAAATTAACAAGCTAATTAAGTTTCTAATTAATTAAAACACATATTCTCTATTCAGAATCATATATATAATCAAATATGAAATCTTGGAATCTCTCCCATTAATTATTAAACTTCCAAAATTATATGGTCTTTTATCTACTCCCAATACTAATAGATTTTGATATTTATTTAATATAAAACTATTGATAAAACTTTAAGAAATGTGATAAACTTTTTCGGGATAGATCTATTTATAAAATATATTTTGATAATTTGCTTATTAGCATTCTATATATAATATGGATGACATTTTATCTATAATGGCATACTAATAGCATAGTTTTTTCTTAAAGAAAAAAGAGAATCGAAAAGTCTTCATTAAATGCTATCAAATTAATTTCAACCTTTGATTAAGATTGAAATTCTTATATCTATTTGTATGGGTAATGTTCGTGTTTGAAACTTTTATTTATTGATATAACTCAGTAACTTAGCCATCAAATTAGCTTAATTTGAATAAATCATATTTTTTCTGTATAAGAATGTCTAAATGATATTCCTGCCATTGTTACCACAATAAATTTTTAATTTATAACTATTATTCTTTTTGGAAAATATATTCTTATAGCTTTCAAACTAGATTTAATTTTTGCATTTAATTAGAAAATTAAAGTATTTTAAGACCAGAAAATTCTTTTGATAAATAAGCATTAAGTAATTATGTTTTAGGGTAAGAGATAAAACAAAATATGTTTTAAATGAATTTATGAGATTTATAATGAATTGTAACTTTCTTAATAAATTTTAGAAATTTACTTATTCTCTTTATTAATCCATTGTATATTTAAATATTTACATAAATCTACATATATTGTCTAATCATTTATAAATATTTATTTTTATTCCAAATATTTTCCTAATCTTCTTATTCATTAACCTTAATTTTTTGGTAATTATTTTCCATGATTCACTTCTGGAGTCAATTTTTTATACAGAAGAATCATCAAATATAAGAATATCAACATTTATAATAGGTTGGAACTCTCTTCTAAAAATGAATTA